TGGGAAAGTGAGTTCCTGCGCTGGCCCAGGGCTGCATCCCGAGCACTGACGGTCGGGCGGCGGCGCCCTGAACGTGGCGGGGCGCGGGGGTGTGGCAGCGTCCTCTCCGCTGCGGTTCTGCCCCCACAGTAGTTGGCTGGCGTGGTCTTCAGACTTGAGCCGAATCTGACCCTGAACCTGCGCGACCGTTATGTGTTCTGCCCCGACGTCACAGCTCCTGGAATGTTGAAGAATGTGGCAGGAAACGGAATTTCGCCTGTTTTCCTCTAGGATGACAGGAGCGGGACGGGTGTCAAGTTTTCACCAGAAAGCGTGTTAGGACGGGAAAGGGAAATCATCTGGGTCTGCGGCTGGTCTTTGAAACACGTCCTCTCCTACCCGGCTCTTTGGCAATGTGCACGGAGACGAAATGCTGGACCAGGGAGGAAATGCTGGGAGACAAAAATGGGCCGTGAATTTCGCCCAGTAATTTTGCCTAAAGTGTGCATGTGTACGGTAGTCATCACGCTCATCAGCGGAAAGTGACAGTCCTTAAGCACGAGACATAAACCCGGGGAAGGGCCGGGGGCGTGGGGGGGGAACAGGAGAGGAATCTCACCAGCAGGCATGTCAGAACAAATGCTTGATAAAGTAAAAGTAGGGGAGCAGAGGAAAAAGAGGAAGGTCCTGGACTAGATGGATTGACACAGTGGCTGCAACAATGGGCTCAAACATAAGGACAATTGTGAAGATGGCACAGGACCCCGCAGTGTTTCCTTTGGTTGTACATAGCATCGCTATGTGTTGGAACCAACTGGATGGCACCTAAGAAGTCAGATGGATTCACTACAGTCACTATTAGCAATGGAGCCGAATTTGCAAGGCAGCATGCTCTACTGCATAAAGCACTGAACCACATAGTATGATTGTTGCAAACTGGCACGTTGCTATTTTGACACTTTACACATCATCTTTTGCAAATTGAAGATGCAGGTGCAATTGTGAATTAAGAGGAGCGTTCGTGTTTCGTGTCCTACTGTCAAAACTTAAAACATCTGCCTTTTTATAGTTCCTTTTTCTCAAGGTGTAGGTTCTGAGACGGTAAAGCAGCTTTTCTTGTAAATCGTTCCTTACTATGTTGCTGGGTCAATTAAAAAAACAACAACCCCGAACTAGAGAGCAATGTCATTTGGAGTCTGAGTTGTTTTTCTCCTGGTCATAAGTTACTGCACTGTTTATATTGTAGCAGAAAGCAGAATGTGTGCTATATTTTAGGCTGTAGGCAGTTTTACATAAAATACGTATTTTTAGATCATTAAGGCAGGTGTTTTAGATTGTTCCGGTTTAAAAAAAAAATCTCATTTTACAGGTAGTAAAAAGCATAAAAATTCCTCAGATATAACAATACACAATAAATTGGTTAAGAGACACAATGTGGAACTAAAGTGGTATTGGAATTTACATATTCCAATATATCATAAACCAAGTGTTTGTTTTGAAGAGTTGGTGAATGTTCCTGAAGTTTCTCCAGTGACATGCTCTCAAGGCACAGGGAATTGCATACTAAGGAGAGAGAGGCAGAAAGTAGAGAAAGTATCGGGGAGCACACATGGGACATTCCTCTGAAAACTATTTCATCTTTAAAAGAGCATGGAAATTTTGCATTCTGTTCTTTAAGTGTGTGCTTTATTATGAAACATTTTAAAACTGCTTTACAAGGTACATCCTTATTCACATCTTTTAGGAACGTGCTTCCCGAGAAACATGCACTGTGCTCATCCTTTACATGGATGCCCCTACTGGCATTCTGATCCATAAGCGTATTCATATTTTATTTATTATAGAGACAGTTTTAAATTGCCTTACTCACTTTCTTACTCCAAATCCTTAAGGAAATCGCTTCCTAAGAAAAATGCACTGTGCTCATCTTTCACATGGCTGTGCCTCCTCCTCCTCCTCCCAAGTCAAAACCCAAATTCTCCCAAAGGTTGCTTAATGCCAGTTTGGAAAGTATCTGGTTAATGTAGCACCTAAGAATTAAACTTTTAAGAGATCCATATCAACTATTCTCACAAGGGGATTTGTATATGCTTATTTACTGCTAAAGCTACCTCCTGTTCTTGGTATAGTGACATGGTAAGGTGTTCAATAAAATACCCTATTTGTAGAATGGAAGAAAAAAGGGGGGCAAAAATAATCTAGCACTTGAATTTGTGCTTACAAACTGGCTTTTTTAAAAAAGTACAAATTAAAATATGAGTTACATTTGAAATAACAACTAAATTGTACTAAGCCATGCCAATAAGATTTTAATAATTCCTTAATGGAAAGCAATATTGAATAAAGATGTGTATTACCTTTGATAAACATTTTATCTTAAGAAAGTAATTCAATAGCAGCAAAAAACTAACACCAAACCCTATTATATCCAATGGACATGAAGAAACAAATCA